TTTTGACAGTTTTGTTTAAACTGCTGTATTTTTTAAAGTGTGCGACTTAAAGCGAAACGAAATTCAGTTCACACATCTATAAACGATTCTTAATAAGACTGCTGATTTGGATTTGCGTTATTTTCAATTTGAAAAAATTCATTTTTGACAGTTTTGTTTAAACTGCTGTATTTTTTAAAGTGTGCGACTTAAAGCGAAACGAAATTCAGTTCACACATCTATAAACGATTCTTAATAAGACTGCTGATTTGGATTTGCGTTATTTTCAATTTGAAAAAATTCATTTTTGACAGTTTTGTTTAAACTGCTGTATTTTTAAAAGTGTGCGACTTAAAGCGAAACGAAATTCAGTTCACACATCTATAAACGATTCTTAATAAGACTGCTGATTTGGATTTGCGTTATTTTCAATTTGAAAAAATTCATTTTTGACAGTTTTGTTTAAACTGCTGTATTTTTTAAAGTGTGCGACTTAAAGCGAAACGAAATTCAGTTCACACATCTATAAACGATTCTTAATAAGACTGCTGATTTGGATTTGCGTTATTTTCAATTTGAAAAAATTCATTTTTGACAGTTTTGTTTAAACTGCTGTATTTTTTAAAGTGTGCGACTTAAAGCGAAACGAAATTCAGTTCACACATCTATAAACGATTCTTAATAAGACTGCTGATTTGGATTTGCGTTATTTTCAATTTGAAAAATTGATTTTTGATTTTTTTACTTACGCGAGCGATTAACGTACGACTTTTCGGTATTAAAAAATTCATTCATTATAGTCAGATTCAGATTCACATGCTATATTTAAATTTGCATTTTCAATTTGAAAAATTCTTTAAGACAGTTTAGATCGATTTCGATGTGCAAGCGAAAAATTAAAAAGTGACGATTTAAGATATGAAATATACATGTTCAGTCGTGTTTAAACGTTTCTTGTGGTTCGACTTCGCTGATTTACATCGATGTAGCGTTTATTTTGAAATTTGAAAAATTCATTTTTGACAGTTTTGTTTAAACTGCTGTATTTTTAAAGTGTGCGACTTAAAGCGAAACGAAATTCAGTTCACACATCTATAAACGATTCTTAATAAGACTGCTGATTTGGATTTGCGTTATTTTCAATTTGAAAAAATTCATTTTTGACAGTTTTGTTTAAACTGCTGTATTTTTAAAGTGTGCGACTTAAAGCGAAACGAAATTCAGTTCACACATCTATAAACGATTCTTAATAAGACTGCTGATTTGGATTTGCGTTATTTTCAATTTGAAAAAATTCATTTTTGACAGTTTTGTTTAAACTGCTGTATTTTTAAAGTGTGCGACTTAAAGCGAAACGAAATTCAGTTCACACATCTATAAACGATTCTTAATAAGACTGCTGATTTGGATTTGCGTTATTTTCAATTTGAAAAAATTCATTTTTGACAGTTTTGTTTAAACTGCTGTATTTTTAAAGTGTGCGACTTAAAGCGAAACGAAATTCAGTTCACACATCTATAAACGATTCTTAATAAGACTGCTGATTTGGATTTGCGTTATTTTCAATTTGAAAAAATTCATTTTTGACAGTTTTGTTTAAACTGCTGTATTTTTTAAAGTGTGCGACTTAAAGCGAAACGAAATTCAGTTCACACATCTATAAACGATTCTTAATAAGACTGCTGATTTGGATTTGCGTTATTTTCAATTTGAAAAAATTCATTTTTGACAGTTTTGTTTAAACTGCTGTATTTTTAAAGTGTGCGACTTAAAGCGAAACGAAATTCAGTTCACACATCTATAAACGATTCTTAATAAGACTGCTGATTTGGATTTGCGTTATTTTCAATTTGAAAAAATTCATTTTTGACAGTTTTGTTTAAACTGCTGTATTTTTAAAGTGTGCGACTTAAAGCGAAACGAAATTCAGTTCACACATCTATAAACGATTCTTAATAAGACTGCTGATTTGGATTTGCGTTATTTTCAATTTGAAAAAATTCATTTTTGACAGTTTTGTTTAAACTGCTGTATTTTTAAAGTGTGCGACTTAAAGCGAAACGAAATTCAGTTCACACATCTATAAACGATTCTTAATAAGACTGCTGATTTGGATTTGCGTTATTTTCAATTTGAAAAATTATTTTTGACAGTTTTGTTTAAACTGCTGTATTTTTTAAAGTGTGCGACTTAAAGCGAAACGAAATTCAGTTCACACATCTATAAACGATTCTTAATAAGACTGCTGATTTGGATTTGCGTTATTTTCAATTTGAAAAAATTCATTTTTGACAGTTTTGTTTAAACTGCTGTATTTTTAAAGTGTGCGACTTAAAGCGAAACGAAATTCAGTTCACACATCTATAAACGATTCTTAATAAGACTGCTGATTTGGATTTGCGTTATTTTCAATTTGAAAAATTCATTTTTGACAGTTTTGTTTAAACTGCTGTATTTTTTAAAGTGTGCGACTTAAAGCGAAACGAAATTCAGTTCACACATCTATAAACGATTCTTAATAAGACTGCTGATTTGGATTTGCGTTATTTTCAATTTGAAAAAATTCATTTTTGACAGTTTTGTTTAAACTGCTGTATTTTTTAAAGTGTGCGACTTAAAGCGAAACGAAATTCAGTTCACACATCTATAAACGATTCTTAATAAGACTGCTGATTTGGATTTGCGTTATTTTCAATTTGAAAAAATTCATTTTTGACAGTTTTGTTTAAACTGCTGTATTTTTAAAGTGTGCGACTTAAAGCGAAACGAAATTCAGTTCACACATCTATAAACGATTCTTAATAAGACTGCTGATTTGGATTTGCGTTATTTTCAATTTGAAAAAATTCATTTTTGACAGTTTTGTTTAAACTGCTGTATTTTTTAAAGTGTGCGACTTAAAGCGAAACGAAATTCAGTTCACACATCTATAAACGATTCTTAATAAGACTGCTGATTTGGATTTGCGTTATTTTCAATTTGAAAAAATTCATTTTGACAGTTTTGTTTAAACTGCTGTATTTTTTAAAGTGTGCGACTTAAAGCGAAACGAAATTCAGTTCACACATCTATAAACGATTCTTAATAAGACTGCTGATTTGGATTTGCGTTATTTTGAAAAAATTCATTTTTGACAGTTTTGTTTAAACTGCTGTATTTTTAAAGTGTGCGACTTAAAGCGAAACGAAATTCAGTTCACACATCTATAAACGATTCTTAATAAGACTGCTGATTTGGATTTGCGTTATTTTCAATTTGAAAAATTTGATTTTTGATTTTTGTTTAAACTGCTGCGATTTTAAAGTGTTTCGGTTAAAAAAACGAATTTCATTATACATCTATAAGATTCTTAATAAGATTAAAAACACATTTGCAAATTTTCAAAGTCTTTAAGCGAAGATAGATCGATTTCGATGTGCAAGCGAAAAATTTAAAAGTGCGATTTAAGATATGTGAAATTCATGTTCAGTCGTGTTTAACGTTTCTTGTAACTGCTGAATGTTACATCGATTTTTATTTTCAAATTTGAAAAATTTCATTTTTGACAGTTTTGTTTAAACTGCTGTATTTTTTAAAGTGTGCGACTTAAAGCGAAACGAAATTCAGTTCACACATCTATAAACGATTCTTAATAAGACTGCTGATTTGGATTTGCGTTATTTTCAATTTGAAAAAATTCATTTTTGATAGTTTTGTTTAAACTGCTGTATTTTTTAAAGTGTGCGACTTAAAGCGAAACGAAATTCAGTTCACACATCTATAAACGATTCTTAATAAGACTGCTGATTTGGATTTGCATTATTTTCAATTTGAAAAAATTCATTTTTGATAGTTTTGTTTAAACTGCTGTATTTTTTAAAGTGTGCGACTTAAAGCGAAACGAAATTTAGTTCACACATCTATAAACGATTCTTAATAAGACTGCTGATTTGGATTTGCGTTATTTTCAATTTAAAAAAATTCATTTTTATAGTTTTGTTTAAACTGCTGTATTTTTTAAAGTCTGCGACTTAAAGCGAAACGAAATTCAGTTCACACATCTATAAACGATTCTTAATAAGAGTGCTGATTTGGATTTGCGTTGTTTTCAATTTGAAAAAATTCATTTTTGATAGTTTTGTTTTAACTGCTGTATTTTTTAAAGTGTGCGACTTAAAGCGAAACGAAATTCAATTCACACATTTATAAACTGTTTTTAATAAGACTGCTGATTTGGATTTGCGTTATTTTCAATTTGGGGAGAAATTCGAATTTTTGATTTTTCGACTGACGACGCGAGCGATCGACGTACTATCATTTTCGGTATTAAAAAAATTAATTCCTTATAGTCAGCTTTCAGCTTCACATTAATATATATTAAAAACACATTTTTAAGTGCGTTCAAAGTCTTTAAGCGAAGATAGATCGATTTCGATGTTGAAGCGAAAAATTTAAAGAGTGACAAGCTTTAAGATATGTCAAATATACATGCTCAGTCGTGTTTAGAATCGTTTCTTGTGGTTCGGGACATTCGCCTGCGATTGTTACATCGATGTACAAAGCAGAATTAAAAAATCTTGAAATTTGAAACAATTTGTCTTTGACAGTTTTTTTTAAATTGTTGTATTTTTTAAAGTGTGCAACTTAAAGCGAAACGAAATTCAGTTCACACATCTATAAACGATTTTTAATAAGACTGCTGATTTGGATTTGCGTTATTTTTAATTTGGGGAAAACTTGAATTTTTGATTTTTCGACTGACGACGCGAGCGATCGACGTACTATCATTTTCCGTATTAAACAAATTAATTTTTTATAGTCAGCTGTCAGATTCACATTAATATATATTAAAAACACATTTTTAAGTGCGTTCAAAGTCTTTAAATGAAGATAGATCGTTTTCGATGTTGAAACGAAAATTTTAAAAAGTGTCATACTTTTAGATATTTAAATTTTACTTGCTCATTCGTGTTTGGAATTGATTTTTATTGTTAAGAACATTCTTAATCGAAAAATATATTTATGGAAAATGCAGAATTCGAATGTCTTGAAATGTGAAGAGAATTAACTTTGACAGTTTTCTTTAAACTACTGTATTTTTTAAAGCTTACAATTACAAGAGTAATATAATGAATTTGTTTGGCGTGCGCGAAGCGCACGCTTGTGTTATCTTGTTATTTAGTATTACAAAATTTTTTAATTATTAATAGTAACGTATCAGCGTATTTTCTTTTGTCTTATTTGACAGTAGATATGTATACATGGTCAAATACGCACATTTTAAGGTTAGAGAACATGTCATCCTTCGATTCAATCATTCAAAAAGAAGCTTGTACTCCGATAAAATTTGATAATCGAGTACAATTTCCTGAAATAATCGATGACAAAATAAATACGGAAGAATTTTTACAAGCCTCCCGCGATGTTGTTCGAACAGTCGGTACGTTAATTCATTTTTAATTATAACCTCAAATTATCACGATTAATCGTTGCTGAACAAAATAATTTTGCAAACATGACGTAAAACGCGAACGCTAAAAGCAAATTTTCATTTCAGAAAAATTTGGCAAATTGTTTGCTCCTGTACGATACGACATGCAAGGCAATATTGATGTTAGTGTAACAAGAATTAATGTAGGGAACTTCCTAAGTTACGCTCTATGGATTTTTCAAAATATGTCTTTCAATTCCAGAAACTTACAACTAGATATTCTATGGATAAAATAAGTAACTCAACTCTACAAGACATGATCTTGCTTGAAAAATCTACTGAGGAAGATCTCGTTGCAGTTGATGCCTTAATGTGGTTGAGAAGGTATTTGTCTATATAAATTCTTTAAATTTTATATATAATAATATATATATATATATATATATATATATATATATTATTAATTATATATATAATAATATAAATATCTACATATAACATTTTTATTTAATTGCTTTAGGGCCTTACATATGATTTTACTATTCTTCGAAAGGATTGTGGAAGATCACAAGACTGGGAAAGCGACAGAGGATTTAGTTGCTTTTCTAAAAGAGTCATATAAAGAAACTTTAGAGCCATATCATGGTTGGATGGCACAACAATTGTTTAATGTAAGTATAAATTTTCCCATGTGTAGAGAACCATTTAGATTATAGAAAAAGTTGTACTGCATTAAAAATAAATTTTAAAAATATAATAATATGGTGTCTAAATCTTAAAATATTGTTACAGCTCCTGTCACGTATGACACCTACTCGTTCGCAACTTTTACTGTCATTGGCAGATGGAGAATTGGATAAAGAGGAAATTACTTTATATAACATGGAGATGTCCTTAATAAATTTAAAGAAAAATGTGCTAGCTTTAAAGACATTTTATATTGATCATAATCTAGAAGTGACTACTGTAGTGTAATAAAATATATTTTAGAGTTTGATATTATCTCTTTAAACCAAATAGAGAAAATATTAACAAACAAAATAAATTAACAGATTATATTTAAAAAATTAATGAAGTTAGGAGAAAATTTTTGTTTTCCTATTATGTATGGGAAATTATGAATTTCTTCATATAAAATGTCTACACACACACACACACACACACATATATATATATATATATATATATATATATATATATATTAACATATTTTTAAGTTATATAAAATACAAAAATTAGTTTGATTCAGATTTAACACTAAAATATCATCACATTAGATTACATATTATTGACATAATAATGCAATATTATATTGTAAAATCTGAAAAGCAATAAAGTCAGTATACATTAATGTACTCTATATTATCAATTCCATATAATTGTGCAACATAAAATCTTTTAGCATGATGATTTGCCAATTGTTTTAAAGCTATCGTAGCTGTTATAATTTCCGTAACAAGAAGAAAACTCATGACACCATTAGCAATTGTTTCGCTAAGATGAGGTATAGTTTTATTATCGAAAAGAAGAAACATCTCTAAAGGTAAATGTATAAGAGTAGATATCAGCCAAAAACTTGCCAGTTCTGGAATCTGTGAAAGTAATATTTTAAACATTTATTTTGCTTTCAATTTTCTGTCTTATTAATGTATATACCTTTTCTGCTAAATTTCCAAGATATCCCAAGTATAATCGTAAACTTTCCAATGTTGATATAACAATAAATACTGCTATAGTTATAACTTTGTATACATCTGTCAAGTAATAATACTGCAAAATAAAGAATAACATCCCTTTATTATTTAATACTATTTATTTAAATACTAACTTTAAATGAAAATTTTATTATATTTACCTTTGCATCCAAGTTAACAATTATTATAATAAACCACAATGGAAATATCCCTACATTAAAATATAATGCTATTTGAAGTGGCAAATTGGCTTGTATCTGATTTCCTGCAAAAAACGAAGAATTATGATTTTAATTAGTTGTCAAATTAATAAAATTATATAAATTTAATTAAAAACAAAGTTTTTCATAAATATATATAATATATATCGATCATCATTAAAATTTAATAATTAATTGTAATAAAATGAAAAAAATTTACTTTTATTATATTTTATATATGTCAAATAAATAAAAATATCGAATTGTTAATCATAAAGTTAATTAATGGATCGATCGCGAATATTTACTATTATCGTTTCTCTGGCAACCGTCATATAAACGAAATGTATGTATATATACCTATATCATAAAATTCTTTTTTTCGATCGTAATAGGCTAAACCGGGAAATATACGATCCGATGCGGTGACAATCGATGTCCTCCACATCCACATTTTTTATAACATAATATTCTTCACGAATGCAAATGCAAAATTCAATTATACATAATTGACGCCAAATTTGTATTTCACACACAATCTAATCGTGTGATGCAACACTAGCAATCAGGGTCGCCAACGTTGTAACTTTAAATCTATAGCCCTCTGGCGAATAATCGCATATATTACAGAAAAATTTAGGTTTTTTCAATTATTTTTTTCAATCTTTACAATATCAGAGAGAGTGTTTCTCTCTGACAATATTTATCAAATTATAAATTTAACAATTAGTATATATATTTATATTAAAAATGTTAAATAGAGACAGTAGACAGAATTTAATGTCAAATAATATTGAGTCGTACTGTTGAGAATTATAATTGATACTAGTAAAGATTTGTCTTTATCCAATTAAAATAATTTTGAATAAAAGTATTTGATGCAAAATATGTAAATTTGTCAATAAAGAGGAACAAAAATTATAGTCCTTCATGTACATGAATTGTGACTTATAAATCATACTTTATGAAAAAAGTCAAGAGAAAGTGAAAAATACATACACAACATGCTGTTTTTATTTACAAGTTAAAAGCATTTCTCGAAATATATAAGGATTGTAAAAAAAGATATCGCAGAAATCCGGTATAACAATGGATCAGTTTAAAATTATTGTTATAAGACATCAGACATTTATGTGCACAGTCAATCGCATATTTCATCCATTCGACACATGATCATTTCTTTCCAGATTTCTTTATACCACCAGTGACTAGAGGACCCTTTTGACTGGCTTTCTTTGCTGCTTCAGCTAATGCTTTTTGTTGTTCCTTTTGCTTTTGCTTGAATGCTACATCCTCATCGTCCATAACTTTTGAATCCTTCTTTGGTGCCTTCAAAGGCTTTTTTTTACCTCCTTCTCGACCAGACATTCTGAAGCATATAAAAATAATTACATATTAATTGATTAATGATTATTATTGATTAGAAAACATAATAATAAGAAAAAAAACATAATAATAAATGTTCTTAAATTAAATCAAATATAACCTCTGATGCAACACAATCAAAAAATGAAAGATTTTAAATGACGATTATTTGATGAATACATAATAAATATTAACTATGCTATTAATATTAACACTGAATTAAATAATTTGTAAGTCACATACATATATACGACATATTCTTGAGAAAACCATGTAACATTCATTAAATCAAAATATTTTATACTGTCATGGACTATTTGTAAAACTTGTTAAAAACAAATTAATATTTAAGTCCTTTACTTACTTTCAACAATATTAAATTTCCGAACTAAATTACTTTTGTAAGCCAGAAACTGCACGTTCAGAAATTCGTAGAAATTGATAAATGTTTATGCGGTAGGATAAGAGTTTTGTCGATTCGATTATACAGATTGTGCTGCCACAAGTTGAGCTTGGAGGTGTCACACTTTTTTCTCTCTCTCTGCCTTGTACAGATTTGCTTTAAATTTGTTACATAAATGATGATATTGTATTTGGAATTATAAGAAATAATGTAAATAAGATTGATCAAATATAATTAAATGTATGGATTTGTGCAGTTTTTAACGACGAACTTGAATTCAATGTTATATATAGCAAAATGTGCACATAAATAATTCAATATTAATTTTCGATAAATAATATTGTATTTAAATGGATTCTCGTGTGTTTGGAATAAATTAATTTTTTATTGGTGTATATATGTATATGTAAATTGTACAAAATGATGCATCGTGAGTATTCAGAAAATCGATATTATTTTCTTTATTTGTTTTGTCCAACAATTCAAATGTTGGTAGCATTGATTTAATTTTTTGGACAAGCATATAATTCTACTACTTTAAAAATATTTACACAATTGCAATATTTACACATGCAACGTTTTTTCCTTATATTTTTCAGAAAGTAATAATATAGCTAAACAATGTTCTAAATATTTTTTTTAATAAACTCACTCGCCTTCTTATCTTTAATTGAAGTGGTAGGGAGATAAGATATTCGAATATCTCAGTTCAATTATTATTGAGCCGGCAAAACATGACCTAGCAAGATCAGCACAGCTCAAACAAAAAAATTGAAGAAGAATCATTATTGACTAGTTATAGTTTGTGATAATCTATATCATATCATTGTGTGATTTTTCAGGATCATTGCATTATTATTCGCGTGTCAATATGCCACTTAAATTAGAATTAATTGCCGCAGCATGTGAAAATATGGGCATTGGAATAAATGGCGATTTACCCTGGCGTTTAAAGTAAGATCTTCAATAATTATACAAAGTTGTTATTAAACATTCATCTATAAATAAATCTGAATTTACAGGACTGAAATGGCATACTTTACACATATGACAACTGATACAGAGGATAAAAATAAAAAGAATGTTGTACTTATGGGTCGGCATACATGGGAATGTATCCCTGAAAAGTATCGACCTTTAGAGAACCGCATAAATATGGTGTTAACATCACAATCACTGTAATTATGGATGAGAATTATTTATGAAATAACAAATTTAATTTTTTTGAAAAAAATACTGAATTGTGTCAATTTTAGGGATTATGGAGATAAGGCAATAACATGTAAAAGTATACCACATGCTATCGAATTGATTACAGAAATGCAGAATCAAATAGAAAGAGTGTGGGTAATAGGAGGAAGTAAAGTGTACAAGGTAATGTGTGACATTTTCAAAATATAAATCTGTTTTTTTTTTTACACATATCACACTTTCTATTTATAATTAAAATAAAACAAGTATATATTCACTACTTAGAACCAAGGAAAGAAAAATGACAGAAAGTATAGAAAATGTGACTAAAAAAAAAGTTTTAATAACAGGCATATATATTGATAGTCTAGATTTAAATCAAATAATGATTCTTGTATGTCCATATAGAACGCCATGGAATCTCCATATTTTGGGCGATTGTATTTGACACGTATAAAGAAAGAATTTGAATGCGATACATTCTTCCCTCCTATTCCAAATAATTTTGTACTGATAAAGTAAGCATCAATATTTTTCTATATTGTGCATTTAACATTTCATATCAATGCTGTTCTGCTTTACACATCTAATCTAATTTCAGAGATCCAGCTGTGCCACAAGATATCCAAGAAGAAAAAGGAATCCAATTTGTATATGAAGTATATGAAAAAGATAATTAGCAGAAACTTCAACATTTTAGTTATTGAAGCTATTCATAACAGATACACTATTTTTATAAAATTTTTTCTATGTATGTATATAATAAAAATATAAGACATATAACTCATTAATAATTGTGTATTGTTAATCATTCACAATTATAATATACAAACACAACACTATTAATCATAGCGTACTTTTTTATATAATATTTTTTAGGCATACATTTTAGATATATTTAAGTTAGAAAAATTTGATAAAACCACACACCCTTATCCTTACTACTGGATTCACTACTTTATATTTTATAATAAAAATGCTGTTTGTATATTTGTGCAAATGGACACATTAGCCAGGTGGCCATTCCAATTGTCGACCACCGAGGACATGCAAATGCAGATGATACACAGACTGTGCACCATGTTTTCCATCGTTGATAACCAAGCGAAATCCATTTGTTAAGCCTTTTTGCTTTGCAACTTTATGAGCGATATTCATCAAGTGGCCAAGTAAAGGTTCATCTTCATCTTGAGCTTTGGAAAGCTGCGGAATTGGTTTCCGTGGAATCACCAGAAAGTGCACAGGTGCTTGAGGATTTACATCATCAAATGCAACGCACTGTAAAATTTAAATATAATGAAATTATATTGTTGTGTATATTAATATTTATATTTAATCAAAATTTATTTTTTTTTTTACAAATCTTTCTTCAGAAAATTATAAATCAAGTTATTTCCATTAATAAGAAATATTTTATACATGATTTCTATATTAATATTAATCTATAATTCTCTTTTAAGATTAGAGATAATTAAAGTCAACATGTTTACTATGACAACTCAGCAAAAAAACAATGTGGTTACATAAATGTGGTTGATTTTGCAAGTTACTTTTGCGGTAATAACAAATTTAAATAATTTGCAATGCAATAACAATCTTTCTTAGATGAGTAGATAAAATGTACCTTTCTGAATTCTAAAATATAGTTTAAAATATATTTTAATATTTGAAAATATTTAGATATTTACATCGTTTATTCACTATATTTTGAATAATAATCTACATACAAAATTATATTTAAAATAGCATTTGATATTCAATGATGTGTTGGAAATAAAGTATAGAACGCCGGTAAATCGATTTATGTCGAAAAATTCAACAAAACGACGTGTACCTTTCAAAATTTGTACATCATGTCATAATTTACCTGATTATCCTCGTAAATAAAGTTGCATGGAATTTCTTTTCGCAGTATTTTTCCAAATATCGTATCGCTTTCCGGCACAGCTGATTGTGCCTTCTCCACCTCGGTCGCCATTTTTCGCAAACTGACAGAACAGTTAGGTCGACTACCGAGATAACCTAAATGTCTACACGCGCTTATGGCAAAGTTCGATAATAATTTCATGTCGAGGAGCAGCAACGATGTCACAGGCGCATATTTAATAAAATATAACTGTATTCTCAATATTAAATATTCCGCTATATTATTATATTTTATCTGTTCTATTTGCAGTTTACAATCACAAAATTTTAAAGATCTCACATTCACGTAAACGTAGCCATACCTGACATGAATTTTTAAGAGCGCGTTCCACTTGCAGTTTGCAACGTCTGTCTTTGTTTAATTTTCAATTAACAACAAAGATAAAATAATCCCACGTGCAATGCAAATGTCAAACGGAACGCGCTTTAAGCGCGCGAATTTTCAATGCACTGAAAATTGTTTGAAATTTAAAGTTAATTTTTTCTTAAATTGAAATAGTTATTCAAATCTATATGATTCTAAAAGTGTTTAAAATAAATGTTTATTCTTTAATAAATATATTAAAGGAAATATAATATTATGTAATTAAGAAACTTGACAAATTCCTGCATATAAAACTATAAAACTTTTATTTTATGATACAGTCTTCTTAACAATATATTTATGTATATATTTTTGTATTATCTTATTAATACGCAATAATGCACATTAAACGAACTGACATAAATATTGTCATAATTATTGCTCTATACACGTCGTCAATATTATACATTAATGAAAAATATGATATTATAATGATTATTTAATGGCTCATGGTACATACAAGATATGGCAGTGCGCTTTCTGGTTTTCTATGGAAGATTCTAATCTTTCACATATGTCTCTAATGGATTATATAAAGTCCCAGTCTTAGAAAAATATACATACACATATTTGTTACCTTAATTTTATGTCAATTTTATATAGTTGAACTAAAGTTAAATAAGGTATTCGCGATATACATACAATCGCTTTCATACTATTAATAGATATTTTCTTTCAGATTTTCTTTCCAGTTATACGCATTTTACTTAACTTATCCTATTAATGTCATATGTATACAACTAAGCTGTTAAACACGATAATGTAAAATATAAAAGAAATTAATGAGAAACATAATTCTTAACATCTTTATAAAAAGATGATTGACTGAAATATTAAGACGTCATTATGTAAATAAATAACATATCAAAAATAATAATTGTCTCATTCTCACATTGTATATTAAGGTACACCTAGAAGCCCTTTAAATTATATATTACTTAAATATCATAGGTTGTTTTGCAAAATTATGACGTTTCATTATGTTTACTCTAAATAACTTAACTACAGGGAAATTAACTATATAAAAATAAAATATAAGGGGTACATAACGACTATTATCAACTATTTAATACAACAGATTGAAATTTAACTATTAAACAGTTAATTTTAATTGTTAATTGAATTTGTAACGCACAAGTGGGATTCTTAATACTCATATATTAGATGTTTAATTAATCAACTATTAATCTTATGTACTATTATAGCGTACTTACGTATGGAGAAATGTTTTTAGTCCTGAATACAGTTACATCAGTCTGAGTTTACTAGTAGATCTAGATAACTTACGGAACATTGTATATTCTTCAGTGTATATTCTTCAGTGTACATCTTCATTGTATAGCTTCTTCAGAAAAGTATCGGTGTCTTACTGCTTGTGCTGCGGTTATACGACTATGAGGATCAAACATGAGCATACTTCTTATTAAGTCTAATCCATGTTCATTGAGATCTGGTATTATTGCACCAAGAGGTTTAGGTTGTCTGTATGGGAAAGCTGTCCAACTGAGTGATACATTCTGTGGCCATGCTTGCTGCGACGGTGTGCCTAAAACTCTAATATGGGAAAGGACAATAAATAACAGAGAAAAATTTTCAAAAATTTAGTTTAAAAAAAATAACAAGAGAGAATCGTATATATAACTCACTGGAAAATCCTGTCGAGTTGATCACCTTCGCTACTACCTGGGAATAATGGTTCCAATTTGCAAAGTTCTGCCAATATACATCCGACAGACCAGATATCTACAGGGGTAGCATAGGAACATCCTAAAAGTACTTCAGGTGCTCGATACCATTGAGTCACAACCTATAATAGAACAACATGAAGTTTTATCGATGCCAAATAATGTTCTATTCAGAGAGACATATTATAGATATAACTGACATGAACTGACTTGCCAGTTAAAAACATCAATTATTTTAATACTGACACATAAATCCTTACTTACAGATTTAATATTGAAAAAATTAATAATATAAAAATTAACAAAACAAATAGATTTCTTTATATAAATTTTTTTTCACACGTACCACGGAAGTTAATCTCATCTCGAAGTCGTAGGTCTTGGCTAAACCAAAATCCGCGATTTTGATTCTTCCTTCCCGCGTTACCAAAAGATTTTGCGGTTTCAAATCCCTGTGTATTATTCTATGGCTATGTAGGAACTCCACTCCATATAGTATTTCTTTCAACATTTGCCTCACGAGATACGGCGAGATGCCCGATCGCGGAGAGCTATCTCGATAATTGGCTATATAGGAAGCGAGATCTCTTTCCACATGTTCGAACACCAACCAGAGGGTGAGACCACGGTCTAGTCTCTCGGATTGTTCACCATCACCCGATGGTAAGTGAAGATAATCTCCTTGACAGACATCGAGTAATCTGACCTGAACAAAGGAGAAAAAAACATCAGTACATATCCATAAATATATCGAAAAAATAATATTAATTTTTTTATATGTATATAAAAGTGACATATTGATATTGCATACATCAACAGAAATTTATCGTTACTAATACTCACAATATTTGGATGTTCGTAGCGTTCGAGCGACTTTAGAGCAGCGATCTCTCTCAGGGTGGACATGGGTAAGCCATCGTCCGTCAATGGTACCCTAACTTTCTTAAGCGCTACAATTTGACCGCTGGACTTGTCCTTCGCCTTGTACACCGTACCGTAGGCACCGTTCCCGATAACAGAAAGGTCTTCGTAGGACGCGTGTTCGCGCAACGTAAAGCTCTGCACGGTCGTCTCGCATTTCGGTCTGCTTCCGGGAAGACCAGGGAGCTCGTCGCTCTGCTCGCTATACTTCATTACAATAGATTTCAGAGTGCCGAGTTGTTCCTCCTTCGAAGTACCCGGGACCGATTCGCCCGAGGTCGCCGCCTTCTCTCGTTCGGAGATCCTTGGATCCGTTCGCTCGATCGTTGCTTCATGGACCGAAACCGATCGCTCGGACAATCCCGTTCGTCGTTTTTCCTCTTCTCCTCTTTCCTGGACCAGCACAACTTCCGCTTGCAAAGATATCTCGCTCGTGGACGGTGTCTCGGTACTCCGAACCTCCGTTAAGGGCTCCGTGGACGATTTTTCGGCTTGCTTGGACTTTTTCGGAGCCGTTGGCGTCGATAGATCTGGTTCGAGCTCTGTGCTCGAACGTCGTGATTTACCAGCCATCACAACATCTCGACTTCTACCTGGAATAATACATTTTCTTATTAGTATCGATAGAATTAAATTGAAAAAAAATATAAATTATTTATCTTATTTTTATATTACTTATAAAATTCATGGCAGAATTTTCGAAAATATTGTGTCAGTACACTTAATTTTTTTAATGACAAAATAGATAAATATGACATTCGGCGCGTCCATAAATATTTTCAATATTATATATATAGATATATAAGACTGAAAGAAATAATGAAAATAAATAAGTATCACTTTGTTTTTCTTTAATACGATATATTTTTTCAGGAACTAGCAAATAATTTCGAGAAAAATGATTTTCCACAATAAAAGAACCTTATTATGGAGAATAAATATAAAACATCTTTCTTTAAAAAAATTAAATGAATTTTAATTCAACTAGGGATAATTTTGCAATCACGCATATCTTTTAATGAGTCTCTCGAGAAGCCTAATTTATTTTTTAGCGGTACAGATAAAAAAAATGTATATATCACAAATTAGAATGTAAAACGGTAACCGATAATAAATACGGCTCTTTCTTTCTTTGCTCTCTCGTTCTCCGCGAACGTTTTATTAAAATTTCGAGACGGTACCGCAAGCGAAGCCGTCTGCTACGCGACATCTGCACCGACACCTGCGTTCATATAATAGCCCGCTCATGCCGGTTTTCCAGAACATCTTGTAAATGCAAGAGGGAAGCCCTACAAACCCACCCGGGGTCCTTGCCCCTTTATTTTCCGTTCGAATTAAGCGATAAATAATTAATTATCGGTCGATCGCACTTCCGGTGAAAAAACATTTGGATTACGAATTATGAATTATTAGAATTTTATAAATCGAGATGTGCATTTTTGATAAGAGAAGAATGAAAATTTTGTAACATCCACATATTATTATCCGATGAAAACTCTGACGATGCGTCAAAAAGAAAAGAGGAAGTTGGAGATACATCTCGTTGTACGAAGAGATACGAAGTTATATACACTTTGTGTGCATGTATGTGCGATAGGGGAGATTCGTGTCCATATATATAATTCAAACGGTTTTAAATTCGGCCGGATGCCGAAAAAGATACCCGCGACTCTCTTTACATCCAGAGGAAATAATAAACTACGCGCTGTTATCACTTCGTAATTCACTCCATTTTTTCTTAGCAACATGTGGTCGTTATTAAATATACTAGTTGTGAGAAAATTCGTCAGGTTCCAGATAATACAATACAATTTAATTCAATAATACATTTCCTTAATATTTTATTTTGTGAGAAATAGAGAATTTTTATGTATATACGTTCCCAAGTAGCAAACGTCATTAAATGTCAAAATAACGCCTTTTTGACGTTAAATGACATATGCTTGCTCTACCTGGATTGTTTAATCAAATAATAATCTCGTTAAAGTGTATTTTTTATTTTACAGATTAATAACAAATATTAACAAATATGTTGAGCAACAATTAGTAACTATTTTGTAAACGGATGTACTCTGGTGATTTTGATTAAATTTCTCTACTTATCAATTTCCTCTTGCGATAAGAAATTATTAATTAGAAAACTGGGACGGAAGGAAGAAAGAAAAGGGCAAAGGAATGAAGAAAGAAGGGCAAAGAATTTGTTTTACATCATGATAAAATTTTTCATATACACACTTTTGGTGTCGGGTTAGAGAAACAAAAGCATTTTTCACATAAATTTCGAGAGTTCGTCGTGAAAATCTCACTGATCAAGATTGGTCGCTTGAAATAAGAGACGAGGGAAAAATATATGGTCGCGTTTTTCACACGGAACTGGAGAAAAACATGTCTTCGCTCTCTAGGAGAAACCAGCAACTTTGTATGTACAGAACGCGTTTCCATGCGGCATTATCTCAAGACCACCTTCCTGGAAGAGGCAGATGTTTCTATATGGTTTCGTTGGATGCCGAGAAAGAGAAGCGAAGACAACGAAGTGCAACGTAAGAATTTTGTTTTGTGAGACAAAAATAAAAGAACGTACATCTTAATTGCTTCTTACGCGTTTATAATTACTTCCATTAACGAACGCAATAATACAATTTATTTTTGCTAAGAATAATGCATTTAAAATGTTAAAAAAAATATATGTATAAGAAAAACATTGAGATACAAATATTCAGGAATTAAAAAATACTTTAAATTATAAATAAACGAAAAAAAAATGATTGGTTTTCTTAGAGGTTCTAAAAAATTACGAAAATCATTTTTAATAATTTATACCTTACATTTTATCGCGGACTTTCGACTCTATTTTACAACACGCGATTACATCTGTCATTTGCAATACATTTTGACATGTAACTTAATAATAAATCAATTAAATTCTCGTTTTCAAAAATGTAAAATTTATGCTGCAAAATGCTAAGTCAACGAAAATCTGCAATTTTCTTTCATCATCCTCAGCGTCTCTGAAAGAAGATAATAGACATCTCGTTTTCTCAAGAGACCTTCGTTTTATTATTCGCAGATTTTTTTCTGCTCTGTTGTCATTGCCAGAAAAAGACTTAAGAAAGAAGGTACGGAAGGATATTCTTCTACATTGTTATATCCAGGGCCACTCATAAAAAGATGAGACCATAGAGTTAAAAAGCTGATGTAACAGAAAAAACGGTCCAAAATGAAAATATACTCGACAGAATATAGAAAGAGATCTTTTACTAAATTTTGATTTATAATATATATATATATATATGTATATATACACGCGATGTATGCTTTTTCGTATATCGATTGTGGCCTCGAGACACGAAACTGTGCTCTACTTGTCTGGAAAAACACGACTTCCGTCAGGAAATTAGATAACGTAAGAACCTTCGAACTCGAAATGTTGAGTTACTCAATCTTCTTATCGTATTGCTCGACGATATATATAAAGTCAGCATAATTTCAGTCTATTAATAAATTCAAAATTAAAAAAAATGGTGAAGCAAGCGATATTCATGTTGGCGTTATTTTAAGAAAAAAAAATTTAAAATCCGTATATATTTTTCCCCGTACTCTGGGACGTCAATTAAAGATAGAAAAATAGACGAGAAATGTCAAAATTGAATTTTTACAAAAATAAGTACATATTTATCCGACAATAAGAATCATTCATTACATAAGAATTATTTCACTTCAATTTTGCATTTTTATCTCGGAGAAAAAAACAAGTGCATGGCTTATATCTTCAAGAAATAAAATTATCGTATTACATTTCTCTTTCTTTTTCTCTCATTTTCTACCAGAAGAGAGAGTTATTATCGGAGCATTCAGCTTATCACAAATTCCTCACCGACAGAGTCATTGAAATTTAGGTCGCACGAGTTGCGCGCTTCCGTAAAGTTTACACGTGTTACGATATTTACGCACTATGTAACACGTTTCTCTGGTGCAGTAGCGCGGAAATCACGCGTCGCCTTAATTGCAACGTAATTGAAGTCGCATTTACGACCTATTGTTTGCAAAGAGTAGGCATGAATGAACGGTTTCGCGTGAGCGTAAAACGCAATGCGCCATTTCATTCGTTATGACCTCCCTCTCTTTAGATGTATCTACTAGAGTTACCCCCCGAATCCTCTCTTAAATCTCAAAAACGCCTCCCTGAAAGCCGTGGATTCGCTTGTTACGAATCTCCTGCCGCTTTATCTCGCTATCCTCGATAGAATTGTTACCTTACTAAGCTTGGAAGACGCCTAAAGTAGACCAATTTAAATGCTACTTTAAGTACAAATTCTCTATCTACTTTTATCTCAATTGCATCCAGGCAATCAGCTTTCATCAAAATAAAAAAAGATTGATAAAAAATATATAGGATCACTCTCTTGTGACGAAAATGGTTACAATAAAATTACAAATAAAATTGTGATTATGTGTAGAGATGATACAATTTAATAAAATCTAGTAATTAAAAAATAAAACATTCATGAATCGTGTTATGCATTGATGTATGCAAAAAAAATGGTATCATGTTTTTTGAAAATATCATTCATAAAATTGAGAGAGAATCAAGTATTTTCTGAAGAATAACGGAAATTATTGTTCCAAGTTGTTTTAAAATTATCCCACTTTGTAGTTGTCAATTAAATGATATCTAAAATTGACAAAGCAAATAGTATATAT